ACAGTTATAGACCAGGAGTATAGACCAGGCCTTACACACTGTTTCAGCTGCATATGCTGCATCAATTAGTTTTTAAAATCCTGTTTGCACTGAAATATTAGTTTAGATATTTCATAAAATATCAGAGTTTTTATAAAGTCAATATATATTAAGCAAAGCCTACATTTAGGCCACACAGAATCAGAGCTCTGGCTGGTGTAGATCAGCAGAGCCCCAGTGACTTCAGCTAAGGCACCTTCTCCCAATTATGAGCTGCAATGGATCTATGATGGTTTACAGCATCTGAGGATCTGGCCTATGGGGTCCCTTAATTAAGTATTTTACCTGCAACGCAGCAGCTTAGCATAGTACTGGCAAACATGACTTAATTTTAAACCCCCAAACTAAGCATTTTTATACCGCCACCAGATGGTAGATGAGATGATCTCTATCATAAGCTCATGTGTTTTATGAACAGGGAACCAAAGCTTTAATTAGGGAAGTGTTGTAAATGTTGCAGTTTAGGAAGGGATACAACTACCACAATCATCTGTGCTAAAGATCTAGGGGCAGAGTTTATTCTCCCTGCCCAAGATAAATAACACAGTGCATTATCCAGCTGTACTTGCTCTGCTGTTTTGGCACCAGGTAGCTTAGCAATATACTTTCAAGGCTAGTTGGTTACTGGTAATAAAGTAATTAAGACAGTAGGGTACCTGCTTTAATGGGTGCATGGGGTTGAGCGAGGATGGGGTGGGGTTGGGACTCTCTCAAGACAGTCTGAAGTAGGTTGGGACTTGACTGGGGAGCAAAGGTACAAGTGATGCACAAGCAGGTGGGTAAAGCCTCTCTGGGAAATGAATGAGTGTAAGGCCTATAGCAAGGCTGAAGATACATCCCGGGATGTGGAGGAAGAGTTTAGGCCTAAGCTTTCATAAGCTTTTTGGGTTTCCAGCTCCGCAACCTTAATGAAGCCCAATTCTGAGAGAGCAGCTGCTCAACCCTTTTTGAAAATCAGGCCCCGTTAAATTCTCTCAAGTTTGGCGCCCAAAAATAAAAATCATGAGTCACTAGAGGAGTTCAGTCACTCAGGGCAGCCAATCCAACAGCTGCCTGAAGAAATTTTAAAATCGGAGATGAATATGGTCTCCCAAGGAAACTACTTTAGCTGAAAGATTAGCCATTCTATTGAATCCAAGTCCTGGAGAGGGTTACAAGTTCCTCTTTTACAATAGAGTGTGCTGTTAAATTTAGATGTCCTATTTTCCTTATTCCCATTTCTCTGGCAAGGGTGTGCAGCCTTCCCTAAAAGGCCTTCTTTCGTACAGTAGGTTATGATTTATTCTCTTCTTCCCCCCCCCTCTCGCCCCCCAACAGATGTCTAAGCTTATAAGGTCTGTCTGTTCTTCTCAGTGGCAATCTCGGGCTTCGCTCTTAAATGGTTATCATCAGCAATTTATGTTTGCTCTTGGCTTCCCATCTGATGGTTTTCCACATCCTCTAGGGCTTAGGAGCCTGGATTACATCACGTCACTTAGAAGTAAGCAAAGCAGTGCCATCTGATTTAGATTTCTAAGCCGCATGGTATGCCCAAAAGGTTACTATGAAAGTTCATCTGTGTTTCCATGCAGTCTATTTTAAATGCACCAGGTGGCTCCTTGTAGTCTTGTGAAAGGATCTTGTTATAATCAATTGGTTCAGCTCTTTTCTTGTTTGTCAAGTCTTCAAATTATTGAGCCCGTATGTCAAAGGGTTGCCAGGCTAAAGCCAGTAGAAAGTGAAAAGTGACTAGGTGAAAATATTGCCATGTCTCAACAGGTCTGGTCCCTGCTTGTATTCAGAGCCCTAACTGCTCACAGTACAAGTATATTTTTAAAAGCATGTTTTATTCTCCTTAGCCTGGTATAGCCACAATAGCCAGAGGAAGGGGGAGTTGGAGATTAGCCTGGTTCCTATATCATTCAACACAATTGTGAATAACTCCTTGGTTACTGGTGATGTTGCATACATCAGGAAGAGCCCAGCTTGACTCTGAGGCCAGGCTGAATTTGCAGGGCTGGCTGTTGAGGTTAGGGGGCAAACCCTCGTCAACTAAGCACTTGTAGTGCAGAAATCTTTGAGGCAATAATTATGGAGCCTCTTGAAGCTATGTCTTCCCACTCCCACCCCCCCATACATACACGTGTCATGGCAGAATCGCACCATTTGAAAAGTTGCAAGGTAACCTCGCTGGGTCTCCTGCAGTGGGATTTCTACATTGTACCTACAGCTTTCACACTAGAGAGGAGTCTGAGCCAAAACTCTACTTCCAACCCTCCCTCACATCCTGATCCAAGTCTCAGTCTGAGGCTAACAGGCCCATTTATTGGCACTCATTTTCATGCAATAAACGTCACATTGAGAAGCCTTCCACAGCCTGCTGAAGCACTGTGGCTGTAGCTCTTTGCTCCCTTCCTCCTGAGATTTATTACATAGATCACATGGCAAGAGGGTAGTCCTATCCTGCGCCACCTTGAGCAAGTCTCTTCACCCCTGACCCAGCTTGCCCACCCATAAGCGGGGAGGAGTCAATAGCATTATCTTTCTAAAGTGCATCGATACCAGTGAAACTCTCACATGGATGCAAATTATTATTATGGGCCAGATCCTCAAGAGCGCCCCAGCTCTGCTCAGCATGAGCACAAGGGGCTTTCCACCACTTTTCAGATCCTCAGCCCTGACCCTGGAGGGCAGCTGCAGGCCAGTTTGTCTCTCAGCATAAGATAGAGCAGCATCTCTGTGATGCTGCTCTATCTTTTTCCGCCTGGAATTCTCCCCACAGTCCCAATGTGCTTCCACCAGGCAAGAAGAGCCAGAGTGAAGGCTTGGCTATGTCCCTTTTTCTCCCTGGTACAACCCCAGAATAGCACCTGTGCTAAGGGAGTCAGGACCAGGTACCATAGATCTGGCTATACCAGGTTTACTCCACCTAAGGGTTCCCAAACAGAGAGAATCCCCAGATGCCCCATTATGCAACTGGTGCAAGAATCTGGCCCTGTTAGTATCTGAGTACTAGGAAAGCTTCCTGACCCCACCCCCTGAACATTCCCTGAAGCATGAGGATGATTATCAGAATTGTTCCAAATGCTCTCAGTGAAACCTAAAATCTTTGTCTGGATTTGGGTTACATTTACAGGCTTGAAACATAGTTGAAGTTTGCACAATGGTCCACTAAAATTTTCCCACTACTGAGCTAAACTGGGCTGATTTTATGGGATTTGAGTTGAAAATAAGTGAAATTCCAAGTTGTGCAAACTTCTGATGTGAACTATGGCAATTTTGCCTGGGTTCTGCTTTGTGATGCATCTGAACCAGAAATTCAGAGTGAAAAGTGCTGTGAATCCAGGTGGAGTGGAATAAAATCAGAAACTCATGGGGGATTTCTTAAGTGTACCTTCCCTAGTTTATACAGTCTTAACTGATACTCTTGTACCTTCCAAATCCATCTCTTTAGAGACATGCCTGAGTCATACAGTTTAGCTATGGATCTAACCTCTCCCAAAGTTCAGGAGTGTTTGCATTAGGCTGGAGGAGTGAGAGGTTGGATTGCATCTATTTCTAGTAGCTAGGGTTGTTGCAAATGGCAGTCAATAACCTAGGCAAGATATTCACTTGATCCCAGGTCTGGGAACCATGTGCGCTTATGTTTTTAGTCTGTCTTTAATGGATTCCCTCCCTCTGTATCCTTGGCAAATTCCATGGTCTTTCAGTGTCTGTTTCCCCATTTACAGTATTATTATTAATTGGTTGTACTGCCATAGCACTTAGGTGCTCCAGTCATGGCCTAGCACTTCCACTGTGCTAGGTGCTGTACAAACACAAGACAAAAAGACAGTCCCTGCCCATCTATAATATGAGGAAGCTACCCACATCCCAGGTGTATTGTGAGACGGTTAATTAACATTTATGAAACTCTCTAGCTGTTGCTAGTCCTATTCCTGGACATAGCCAATCCCTTTATAATCTCACTGAAATGACCGTATTTGCTAGAGATAGGCCCAAACCTAAATCCCAGATCTGATCGGCCCCACACCCAAACTTTGGGGAAGTGCTAATCCAAACTTTGTGGCAAGCCCATATCTCTATGATGGCCCAAGAGAAACCCCTGGATGCAAACCCCACCGAACATTCAGATCCGAATTCCTTCCCTCGGGCTGTTGTTTTGAGTTCGTGACTCACCCTTTGACCTCCCAGTGCAATGCTAATGCCAAGAAGGAACAGAACTGTAGAGGAGAGCGAATTATTGAGCTCTGGAGGGCAAGTGAGTTACCAGAGAGCTGCACCACCTGCTGTAATCATGAAGACCAAAAAAAACCCCACCCCAAAACCCACAGGAAAAAACATTATTTCCCAGTATACAGTTGCTTGGAGGAGCAACGTACAACAGGAAAGGGTCCCGTGCACTTTCAGTAACCCACAGCAACCTACAAACTGACTTAGACCATGCATATTGATTTCACAACTTCCATTTTTTGCTAACAGGCAATTTCTGTTACCCTGGGATGATTTCAGCTTTTTGAAAAATTATATATGGCAACGTGCTGATCCTGCCAGCAGGTCTGCCCCAGTCAGAGCAATCAGACTAGTAACTCTTAGCACATTACATTGCACTCCGCATTGTCCAAACGCTTTGTAAGTGTTAACCCATCCTGTCTGTGTTGTGCTGCAGTTACTGTGCTGCCGGATAGCCTGGGTTGTATGCTTCCGTTACATACTCTCATATCCCCACCCCCAGACCATCTAAGGAGACACTGAGTGCACTGTGCACGCAGAGGTGAGCATATAGGCAGAGCAAGTTTCCATCCCCTCTCTGAGAAGGAACCAGATGTGCAGAGGGAAACACTGGTAGATTTTTGTGCAAACAGAAGACTTGACCTCTTGTATCGAGGAGCTCCACCCACTACAGTCAGAAGCGACAGAGCCTGTGTTTGGTTTGGGATTAGGCATTTGCATAGAAGAGCTTTAGTCCTGCTGCATCAGCCATGGGGCTCAAGCTTGGGGAGAAAGCTGCTTCCTTCTTCTTTGAATATGACACCCCCCGGATGGTGCTGGTGAGGAACAAGAAAGTGGGACTCATCTTCCGGCTGATCCAGCTTGTGGTCCTTGGTTACATCATAGGGTAAGGCTTTTCTTGCTCATTACATAGCCTTTCACTTCAATGAGAAATTCCAAACGGCAGCTCTTCTGAACTTTCCAAATACTATACCTGCTGACCAGCCATTACGCTCAACGCTAGCGTTGCCACACATTCAGTTCTTGGTTGGCTTGTCTACCTGAATTTCTGTTCGGCCCCCTTCTGGATGAGAAGTAAAGCTGAGACCCTGCCGCTTATGATCCTTAGACACCCTGAGCAGGGGCATTCGCTAGATTCCAATGTTGTGGGTAATTATATTTTGTCTCCTTACAGTCTCCCAACAGTTTCACCTGCAAACAGTATTCACTTTGCCTGAGCTCTTTGTTGAGCAGTGTTGTACTGCACTGTTAAATAGTTGCTGTGTTAAACCCCAGAGGTGGCTGCATGTCCGTGATGAGTGTAACAATCCCAGTATGTAAACGTCGTAAATCGTGGTAAGCTCACTGGAGGAAAGGCCTTCTATAAGGGCCTGATCCAAAGCCCATTAAGTCATTGGTTCAGGCCCTCAATGCCTGCTGTTGTTACTATTTTCATTATATTAAAAGAAAGGCAGACAGGGACGGCTTAGTAATTTGTGAGCCCCAAGCAGCTGAAAGAGGGAGGAGGAGTGGAGGGGAATAAGGCCATACATTTCCTCCTTCTCTGGTCCTGTTTCCCAAGAGGGAGGAAAGGCCAGCCTATGGGTTAAAGAATGAGCAGGGGATACGGTGCTTCCAAAAGAGCAAGGCGCAAATGTCTGCTTTGCTTTGTTTGTGCTTAAGGCCGGGCCTGAAGGCAGCTAGAGCTCAGCAGAAACTGTTTTAAACGGGGAGTAAATAAAGCAAACGTCTCTAAAGCTCCCCACAAACTGAAAGGCATGTCCTGACCCTGGGTGTTTAGAGCTGCAGAAGGAGCAGCAAGAGTTCATGTGCCCTGAATTGCCTGGGAAGTTTTCATCACAAGTTTGTTTCTAAAAACTGCTACTGAACTGGCCGCCCCCAGGCAGTCATCAAACTCTGTAGCGTGGCACTGGGTGTTTTTCAAAAAGGGGTCAGAATCTCTGCACCAGTGAGCCTAGCCACCTATTGAACAATCTCACCACAGAGCATGCACGTGATTCAGAGTGTACATGGGCCACCGCAGTCACTGAAATACACTAATGTAGGCAGTAAGGTCCCTGTACCAGCCTCCATCTCGGGGCAGGCCAGGTAAGGAGCATGGCAGATTCAGCACAGCTGCTGCAGCCTCTCCTGGTGAGGCTGCTGTGGAGCATCCAGAGGAACTGCCCTTCTAGGATGGGAGCCTTGAAGGCGGGCTGCAGTGGTGGAATGGGAGTAGGTCACCTCCTGCTCCCATAGCTATTTGCACCTCTCTATGCCAGTGGGGATGGATCCGGTGAGGTGTATTCAGTGATGGAATAATATTGATTTCCCCCACGTACGCTGAAGATGGGGAAAAGACCTAAAGATGGACCTCAATCCCTCTTAGGAAATACTTGCCAGAGGGCTTCTAGCTTCCCACAGCAGGCGGCTTGTTACCTCGCATGTCTAATGGCGTGAGGTAGGACTGAGAGTGATGCTTGGCTTTGTTTAACTCTTGTAGATGTGCAATTAATAGCATTTGCAGGAGGGGCAGCGAGTGCCTACCCTTTATCCCCAAATAATCATTGCTTAGAGGCAGGGCAGCAGCCTCACAACAGGGGGATGATGGTGGTGAGAATAGTAATTGCTGCCATTGGGACAGTGCAGGCCCTGAATCTCCAAATTTGCTGTCTGGAAAGTGGCTGAAAAAAACCTACTTTCTATGAAAGAACAGAAATGACGTTTCACTGATTTTTTTTTCCCGTCCTTCCCTGCCCCACTCTTTTCTGACCAGCCCCATCTTCAAATCTGAGCTGTAGGGCTATTGCAGAATGGGATAGTTTCAGCCTCCATGTAGGGTTCAAGGGTGAACACAAACCAGAGGAGTCAGGAAGGGGAATACGACCTGCAAAACATTGGAGGGAAACAGGCAGGAAAGCCTGTGCCATGGCTCCAAAGCCAGAATCCAGAGGCTTTTTTTTTTTTTTTTGAAAACCTCAGCAGGTAGGTGCAATAAAGGCACGAACCGTGATATGCTGGCAGCATAGGCAATAAAAATGTCTGCCAGGTGGGTAGAAAGGTAATTCTACCCCCCCCCCCATTTTTTTATTTTTTTAAGAAGGGTGAAACTTGTTTAACTCCAACATCAGGCCTGGGAGAAAAGCTCCTTCTCTGTGTGGGAGACTTTTGCTTGCAGACTTTGTTGGCCATCTCTGCCATGCCAGATTACATGTACTGTAGCCTCTAATGGCCACAAGTGCTCAGCATCTCAGCTGTACTATCTGTCTGAAAGAGTTTCTTCCCCTGTTTCCCCAACTTTCTGCAGATTATAACTATATTCTCCCTTAATGAACAAGCCTGAGGAAGTTAGACTTTTTTTTATCTTTGAAAGCAAGTTTGCCAGGCAGGGTTATTTTTACATTTAATATGTAAATGAGCCCAGTTCTCTTGAAGAACAGTTTGTTGGGCGATTATTATGGCATTGGGTATCCTGCCTGCCTCTGGGAAGAAATGATATTGCAATGACACCAACTGCTGCATATTCTCAGAAATAGTAGTCATTGATTTGATAGCAAAGATAGAACCTTTGGTTTCCACTTGACCTAAAGGAGATTAGACCAAAGATTTCTAACCATCAGAGGAGTGAAGTTCTGGAACAGCCTTCCAAAGGGAGCAGTGGGGGCAAAAAAATTAACTGGCTTGAAGACTGAACTTGATAAGTTTATGGAGGGGATGGTATGATGGGACTGCCTATGGTGGCATGTAGCTGATGTGCGACTGTTAGCAGCAAATATCCCCAATGGCCAGTGATGGGATACTAGATGGGGAGGGCTCTGAATTACTACAGAGAGTTCTTTCCCTGGCTGTTGGTCTTGCTGAAATGCTGAGGGTCTAACTGATTGCCATATTTGCGGTCAGGAAGGAATTTTCCCCCAGGTCAGATTGGCAGAGACTGTGGAGTTTTTGCCTTCCTCTGCAGCATGGGGCATGAGTCACTTGCAGGTTTAAAGTAGTGTACATGGTGAATTCTCTCTAACTTGAAGTCTTTAAGTTGAGGACTTCAGTAACTCAGCCAGAGGTTATGGTTCTGTTACAGGAGTGTGTGGGTGAGGTTCTGTGGACTGTAGTGTGCAGGAGGTCAGACTAGATGACCATGGTGGTCCCATCTGGCCTTAAAGTCCCTGAGTCTATTAGTTTTCAGCAGCAACAGGGCTTGTATGTTCTCATGCTAGAAGCAAAGTTGGGGTTAGCCCACTGACAAAAACAGAGGCAACTTTATATCTCTGTAACTTCCTCTTCCTCTGTACCCTATTTTTATCTATGTGCATGCTAAGATAGAGTTATCAATGCACTCCAAGCACATGCAGTCATTACTGCATGGGCATGTGGGTTTTTCTAATCCGACAAGTTTACATGCAGAGACTTTTCCAACTATGGTGAGACTGTAATGCTATTTAATTTGTATTTTCCCTCCCGTTGTCCTACTGGGGTTTCTTTTACCAAGGAGAGGGTTCAGAAGGAAGTGAGCGTTAGCATACACCATGTGAAAAAATGATCATTTGTTTGTCTTGGTGTGTGCTGTGTACAGAATGCAGGTAGCAGATACGATGCATCCTGTTCCAGCCAGCCCCAGCAACAGTGAGGCTTAGCCAGCTAGATCTGAACCCAAATCCTCAATCTGAGCATCTCCAAATATTGAGGAAGTTATTATAGTACAGTAGCATTAGGAGGCCCCAAGATCAGGGACCCATTGTTCTGGGTACTGTACACGCCTAGTAAGACAGTTCCTGCCCCAAGAAGCTTTCAGGAAGAACAACAACGATTAGGGGTATGGAACAGCTTCCATATGAAGAGAGATTGAAAAGTCTGGGACTGTGCAGCTTGGAAAAGAGATGACTAAAGGCAGATATGATAGAGGTCTATAAAATCATGATTGGTACGGAGAAAGTGAATAAGGATGTGTTATTTACCCCTTCACATAACAAGAACTAGGGGTCACCCATTGAAATTAATAAGCAGCAGGGATGCTGAGGGAAAGATGCAGACAATGCTCTATTCCCTGGTCTAGTCTGGGAACACACAGGAAAAAGTATCAGTTTCAGATCTTCAACTGTCTAATCCTATACCAGAAACTAAAACGCAAGTCTGGTTACCAATAAGACTCTTCTTCCCACACTTCCAGTGGGTCCCAGCCATGCTAGAGAGTGATGCGCAGTTCTTCTACTGCCGGGAGAATCTTGTAATATATATATTCACCAGTAAAATATGCAAGAACCACAAGTCTCAATTCCCTCTGGATTCCCAGCTGCTGCCTCTGCCAGGAAGGCTCGTTTTCAAAATCAACCCCTTCCTCCCCCCCACCATATACACACTTAGAAAAAGGTCTTTTAAATGGCCTTCCACAAGTAGTTCTACAGGCAGCAAGAACTGGGAGGCTCACTCATTTGCCTAGGATCCATCAGTTATTTGCCTAAGTACCCCAGCTATGGTGGCAAGGTTAGGAAACCTGGGCTGGAGATTTTGGCACAACCAAGGCATTCTTGTTGTTCCCCTTCTGTTTGGCTACAGATGGTATTAGGTCCCTAGTCCAAGTGTACAACACCATCTACTGAAGCAGGTCAACGCTGGCTCTGAGCATCTACTGCCCTAGAAAAATTGCAAGACAGGCCCACAATCACTTTCTCATCTAGCCCCCAGAAACATGCTGCAATGGGTCTAGGCAGCAGACAGGCATTAAAGCTGTTGCTGCACAGGTGATAAATCTGGTAGAGCTGGCCCTGTAGAAGCGTTGCTTTCTGTGACTCAGTAGGCAGAGAGCATCATTTTAGCCCTATTAGAGAGACAACGTGGGTGAGGTAATATCTTTTATTTATTGGACCTACTTCTGTTGGTGAGAGAAACAAGCTTGCGAGCCACACAGAGCTCTTCTTCAGGTCTGGGGAATGTCCTTTGTCACTGTGGGAATGTTACCTTTCTGTTAATGAGGGGCAAGTATTGCAGACCTGCCGAATGCTCTGGGGTATTGCAATGTCTCTCTAGGCACCAGGGCCATCTCTTCTTTTGTTAAATGCATTTGCTTTTTATGTCAATAGGGAATGCGTTACATGTGAGAGCAATGGGAACTGCTGAAATCCCTCAGCCACAGCTGCAGTACAAGCTTTCCCAGCCATGTTGCTCCCTGCAGCGTCCGTCAACGGAGGAGCCAGCTGCATGGCTAAGAGGGCAGTTCAGTCTCTGTGCTCATTAAGGTCCCGGGTGCCCTCAACTCCCAGTGACGTCAATGGGAGTTGAAGGTGCACAACACCTTGCTGGAGGCTCTCACAGAAGCAGGCCCTTTGTTCTTGGCTTCTTTGCTAAAAACTTGGTGCTCTTCAGCCTGCTAATGGCTGTAGTTTTAAGATGGGAAAAAGGAAACACTGGTGATGCATGTGAATTTTTGCTTCGGCATCTGTCTGCAAGGAGCTGGGCTGAGGCTGATACCACTGTCTTGTTTGGTGGAGGCCACCCAACAGCCTTTTAGTCACTGCTGGTGTAACATCCCTCTCCTGGGTGGGTCGTCGGCAGCAGGGATTGAACCTGGGATCTCAGTATCGAAAACCATGAGTCTCTATTTCCTGAGATAGAAGATCCATGTTTGTAGCAGGCTCATCAACCTCTATATACAGCCCAGCCACCACTACAGGGGGACACAGCGCCACACTCCGTGGGTGTAGGTTAAATGGATTAGGGTTGGATTTGAAGTGGCATCCTAGGGGCATTATATTTCATTTCCACTCCCCTAAACTACCATGCAGTTCTTCCCTCATCAAGAGCAATGCTCAGGGTGCCCACAAATGGAAGGGATGAAATCCATCCATATTTAACACCACACGCTAATCAGCTGAGCGCAGCCTCTGACATCGCCACATGGACAATTACAGGCACCCGCCGCAGCTAATGACCGATGTTCACCACCACTGCCTCTATGCTCTCCTAGAAAACGCCCCCAGCAGAGCACTCACTTTGCATACCAGAGCGAGTGGGATCCATGCCCACATTCTGCAGGGGATGAAAACCAGATCTCTCCTTTTTTAGTCTGACCGAGTCTTATGTGGATGACTCCACGAAGTCTTGGATTTCAACCCAAAATGGTCACTTGGCCTTGTTTACAATTTCTCACAGAGTTAATTAAGACAGTTTGTTCATGTAATAGGTTAATTAATGTTAAAATCTGGCCATATTGAAAGTATTAATGGCCATATAAAATGTGATGAACCATTCATAAAGTAATCTGTAAACTAATATTTAGACAACTAACATACATAACTTACTGCCGCTATCCTTAGCTTGCCAGCTGTCACCTGAGACCATGTGTTGGCTAATCATTAACCTGAGTTACACCAGCCATACATTGCACTGTGGGACAGGGCGATGTTTAGACCATTAAATGTTGCTCTGATTTAATTTCATCTGACAGAGGGTTCCTTCACACTCTTGATCATGAGGTCAAATTCAGATTAATAGCAGGGAAATTCAAGCAGATCCCCTCCTCCCCCCACACAGATTACATTGTGGCTAACTGCCTGTAAACTCAACCCATGCCATCAGCAAAAGCTGCCGAATTCACATAGGTAAAGAACATGCATTTTAGTTTGAAGATCTCTTTCTTTATGGAACTATCACACGTTTTGTGCCTTTGTTGAAATCTGGAGACATTGACATTAATTTAAGGGGCGGTGTGTGTGTGTGTGTGTTGTGTTAGCAAGTGGTTAGAAAAGAGAACTGTAAGTTAGGACTTTCAGGACTGTGGGATCTATTTCTGACTTTCACACTGGCTGCCTTAGATTTTTCAATTCCTAATTTTATAATCTTTGAAAAGGGAGAGGAGATATTTCCCCACTTTGTGGTGGTGTAGTAAGGCTGAATGAGTTGTTTCTGTAGAGTACTTTGAGGCCTATAAACGGAAGACATTGAAAGGCCTTCAAGATACGGATTCTGATTTAGATCTATTCCTGCAACCCTTCTTCATGCAAATATCCTCGGTGGAATCAGTAGACTTGTTGTGTGAGCGAGACTTGCAAGATCTGCAACACGTTAATATAGCCACTGCAAGTTTGTGAGACTTGGCTGAAAAGTCTCTCAAAACAACCTTCCTTGAAGGTATTTTAGGTGTTTGTGGTTCTGGTCCATACTCTGACCAGGACTTGCGGAGTTGTGCAAAAAGGAATGGTAGATTTTTTTTTTTTAACACCAAAGTTTGGTTTGGGTTAGGTTCAAATTTTGAGTCGGTTTCTCTTTTGGGGTGGTTTCTGTTTGAACTGAACCAATTCCTGTTCCCACCAGGAATTTCAAAATATATTTCAAGATATTTTGCACAGAAATAACTCAGTAATAATGCTTTTCAAATCTACCTATAGCTCCTTCCATCTACAATTTCAAGTACTTTACCAACATAGCTGAGTTAAGACTCACAACACTCCTGTGAGATGGGTAAGTTTTGTTACCCTCGTTTTATAGATGGGGAAATTGAAACCTGTAGACTCGGTTAAGGATCAAATTTTCTAGCATGGCCTCTACTTCTGAGTGCCTCAGAAAGTGTCCAACTTCAAAAGCCACATGAGTCTGATTTTCAGAGGGGCTAGCGCCATCACAGACCTAGTGTTGGGGATGTTCAGCACCTCTGGAAGTCAGGCCTTTGGCTTCTAAAGTGGGAGATCCAAAGAAACCAGGCCATGCTTGAAAACATAGGCAACTCAGTTAAACCCAAGGTCACATAAGGAGTCATTGGCAGAATGAGGAACAGAACCAGGTCCCCAAACACAGTGCTGTTCTTCAACCACTGCACTGTGCTCCCTCCTTCTGGAATATCTGTGCTTTTCCCATTCTGCAAATGGAGCCCATTCTATGTCTACTCCATCCTGGTAACTAGACAAAAAACAGATACCCCACTGTATTCCTAATTAATGTGATATTCTGTAACTCATCTGAATGACTTTGTTTGCCTAGGTGGGTTTTCCTCTATGAGAAGGGTTATCAGTCACAGGACGGCATCATCAGCTCGGTCTCGGTGAAGCTCAAAGGTTTAACCGTTACTAACATTAGCGGGATAGGCCCACACGTCTGGGATGTGGCCGACTATGTTTTCCCACCTCAGGTAAGGAGGAGGGAGGGCTTTTTTCTAATCACTGTTCTTTATTGGCACCTTGCGGAGGAGAGGGAACCAACAAATGACTCTTCAGCTCTACAGCCTTCTCTGTGAATTGGCAGCATGTGCTGGGCTACCACTGTCTGAAAGGGCATCCGTTCGGCAACATGCTCAGGGCCTTATTTCTAGAGGTCCCGAGCATCTGCCACTTCCCTTAAGGTCAATAGGAACTGAAGGTGAAGCACCTCTGAAAAAAAAAAATCAGACTACAGGTTACCGTCAGCTCATGACTAGTTACTATTTATTGGGGGCTCCTTGTCCCCTCTCCAAAGCAGGGGGTCCAAAGTGCTGATGAGGCTCTGAGGGAGGCGCAGCAGCCCAAAATGATGTATCTCCAGGAAAAAGAACTTCACAGATAATCATTGCTGGCCTCATTGTCCTTCGTCTCCTTATTTGGCTGGGTGATATTTTATTCCATTTCCTCCTACTGCTCCCCCTTGTAGCATCTCTGCTATCCACGGGAGAGACTGCCTGCCTCTCACGAGCAACCATCTGATTAAGTCTTTAAAGTAGCGGTGTTGGTAAGAGGGTTAAGGATGAGTCTGCCCAAGGGAGGAAGGATGGGCAGCCTGACAACCTCTGCCAGTACGTGCTCTAGGTGGGGTTGTTTACCTCCTGGGCCATGGTCAGATGAAGGTTTTTGCATAACAGTAACACCTTCCACCCAGTAACTCCCACCCCATCATGATGACTCACTTGAAAATAAGTTTCCACCTTTGACTTGATTGCATTCCTCTTTGTAGGGGGACAGTTCATTTGTGGTGATGACGAACGTCATTATCACCCCTGGACAGAAGCAGGATATTTGCCCTGAGGTAAATAGAATTGTTTTATATTTGCAGGGATTTTCTTTTTTTTAATTTAGGTTTATTAGGGATGGGTGAATACATTCAGGGGAGAAAAATCAGGACTCTTCCTCTCCCCCCACCCCAAATATTTGCCTAAAATTCCAGCCAATCCCCCAAATGAAAGAACTTGTAGAGAACTTACCCAAACTCAATCACACCTCAGTGTTTGAGTCCAAGTTTTGTGGAAGCTTTAGGTCAGTTCTTATTGTACCACACTATATTAATCCATCATGTATCATCATCATCATCCATCATTTCACAGATGGGGAAACTGAGGCACAGAAGGGGAGGAGATTTGCTCAAGGTCGCAGAACTGGAAACAGCTGCTCTCCTGACTCCCAGTCTACTGGCCCATCCACTGAACCAATGATGAGACATTGGAACTGTCTCGCTTTGGCTGGTTATTTCAATAAGAAACCTGGAGTCACAAGTTTCCTCTAGGCCTAGTGATAGGCAAGTCAGTTCACAAAAAATTCCTCCTTAATGGATAAGAGACAGTCTCTAAACCAGAGCAGGCCAGGGTGGAATTTTTCCCTGTAGTAGCAAAGTCCCATCTCTTCGGGGGTAACACAGCTCACTGTTTTCCCACCAATTTGCTAGTAGCAAGCTTCTGATCTTTAGTTTTATGGATATTAAGATTCTTGGCAAAGAAATATGCTGTTTATAATGCAAGGGAAAGTTACAGTTAATGTGTTGGATGCACTGTACTACAGTTGCCTTCCATAATAAAACATCCCTAGTACTGACACTCATTAGCAAATCTATTTTCAGCCTCCCCCATCCTCCCCACAGCAAACATGTAGCTGTTGATAACTCTTGTTACATGATTTCCAGAGAATTTGCATTTGCTCAGTGGAGACATCGCCATGAAGGACAGCTTCCCTGTATCTGGTGTCAGAAGGATTTGTCACGTCTCAGAAGTCCAAAAGGGTTGCAAGGAAACCTTGCATTGCAGTACATGGTCTTCTGCAGCTACCTGCACTCAGTCACCTGCGCTCAATCTCCACAGTCTGCTGAGATTTCTAACGGCATTTAAAGGATTTGGATGCTCAAGTCCCCATTAATTTTTAAATGGAAATTTGAGCATGCAAGTCCCCTTGAACACCATTGAGAATCCAGCCAACATATATAACCAGGACCAGTACAGGGCCTTTGGGAGGGTTGGCTTATCTACTACAGTTGATTAGCTGGCTGGAGTTTACCCCCTGCCTCCTTTGTACTTTACTCCTGAGGGCATTCTGTGCCAAAAAATTAAAAATTTTAAAATTGTGCAAAATTCTGCAAATTGTATTTGACAAATAAATGTGGAGGCCCCAGCATGGCATTGGGGAGCATAGGCCACTGGCTGCACAGAGGTGGGAGATCACTGTACAGCTCCCCCCGGGACACAGACTCAGCAGTGAGGCTGCACCCAACCCTGACACAGCGCAAGGACCAGGCCTGCCCCAGAAACACCCCAGGGCCCTGCCCCTTTGTGCCAGGTGCACCAGGTGTGGGCAGGCAGGCTCAGCAAGGCAGGATCCAAATGTGGAGGAGCTTAGTGTCAGGGGATCCAGGTGTGGGTTGAGAGGGTTCTATGTGGGGCAATCTGGGTGCGGGCGGCTCAGTGGGGGACCTGAGTGCAGGGGGATCTGGATGCACAGGGGCTTGTTGTTGAGGGATTCTGGGTGCAACGGTAATGGGACTCTGCAGGGGGGATCCAGGGGAAGGAGGTTGGGGCTCAGCATGGGAGTCTGGGTGTGGGGGGGATAGAGCTCGGCAGGGGGGTCTGGGTGTGGAGGGCTTAGTGGGGGGTCCAGATGCTGGGGGAGTGGGGCTCTGGGGTGGGGATCCATGTGCAGCTGGTTGGGGTTTGGTAGGGTGGCGATCCGTGTGTGAGTGGCTCGTCGGGGTGATGCAGGGAATTGGGGCTTGTTGGGGGGGGGGGTTCTGAGTGCAGGGGAGGGGGTGAGGCTCAGCAGGAGGGTCTGGGTATGAGGGGGTCTGGGTGCATGGGGGTTGGGTGGATAGGGGAGCAGCTCCCTGTGCAGGGATCCCTCTGCTGAGGAGCAATGGGTGCAGGAAGCGTGTGTGTGGGGGGGAGGAGTTTGCAGAGCTTCCTACAGCTGGGGGAGAAATCTGGGGGTGGGTCTAACCTGGCCCCGGATGCCTTACAGGGGAAGAGGAAGTCCCAACCTCCCCAGCCCAGCCGGGACTAGCAGCTGAGCCTAGCGCAGGGTAGGAACCACCAGCTGGGTCTTCTCCAGTCCCGCCTCCTGCCCCACAGTGATTTACCTCTCTGCCGGCTGCCCTGGGCACCCGAAACATACTGCTGGGGAAGGTCACATGACCACTCTTGTGGCTTCCCTTTGCTTCCCCATCAGAAAGTCATTTTTTCTGCGGGGAAGCAAAGAAATCTGTGGGGGACATAAATTCTGCACATGCGCAGTGATACAGAACTCGAGATACTCTGCATTAAAGCCACAGCTTGAGGGCTTGTCTATGAGGAACATTATGTGCAGCAAGCTATATGCTGTAGATTCGCACCCTGGCTTGCTGTGCAGAAATATCCCATGTAGACAAGCCCTTAGTCTAAAGACAACTGAAATTGAAGAGGGCTTTCCCATGCACACTACAGAGAGGGATTGCTAGACACCTGACTCCCAGCCACTGAGAGATGTTTGCTTTCTTTCTCATCACAGCTGCCAGATGCAGGACGATGCAATAATGACAGTGATTGTATCCAAGGGAAATACAGTCGCCAGGGGCAAGGTAAGAAGGAAGGCATTAAGACTGTGAGCTCTTCAGGGCAGGGACTTTGTCTTTCATTGTCTCTGAAGCCCTAATGTGCTTTTGGTGCTATATGAATAACAGGCTGCCTGCAATTCTTAGTCTAGACGGTACAATGAGAGGCATATTGGAAATGCAGATTGGATTAGACAGGTTGTTTTATTACTTTCTAACAGTGCAAGGAGGGTGGCAGTATTTCAGCCTGTCAGCAGAGATGGGTTGAACCCATTTGGAAAAGGTCAGATACATCTGAACCATGAAAAGATTCTCTCTTGTTCCCACTCTTTGGAAAAAGGGTCAACCACTCCCACTATTACATCCACACCTGCCTGTGCACTCCGCAGCAGTGCCTCATTGGCAGCAGAAACTCAGGTTGAATGCCAGCGTTGCTAACTTCCTTCTCAGGGGTTTTCTTCCAATCTTAAGGACATGAAGATAATTTCATGAAGCAGGTTGGTAGGAAAATGGCTTACTAAGGTAGAAACAGGATTGTAATGGGGCATGCTGGTCATTCTATCTCCTAATATCTATCTATCTATCTATCTCCAAGATGCTCTTGGACACTATTTAATTATATACTTTAATTTCCAAGGGGTTTTTTAAGCAGGTGCACCTAAAAGGCAATAAACATGGAGAAGCTGACAAGGGGATCTGAGTGATCCTAGTAAGGTCTATCCAGACAACTCCCATATTCCGTGCCAGAGTGATCAGAATCTACCAGAGAGTGGCGATTAACTGGTTACTTTTTGGGGTCACTGTTCCATAGCTGCAGTCTGTGCATTTTTAAAAGTTACTTAGGCAAACCTGGAAACTTGTGGGGGAGAGATCCGGGGTGACGATGTGGGGACACTGTCTGTACAACATCTGAATTCTGGCTGATACAGCAATTTTCATAGTGCTGTATCAAAGTATCATTGAATACCTCTATGTGTACGTGGACCCCATCCTTGCTGACAAGGGTTATCTCCCTCTCAGGGATGATGGGGGTCATTAGAACACAACCACTGACCATTCAGATGGAAGCACCTTGGACAATATGTTAACTGGCTCTTCTGGGCTTGAGCTTTCTCCTACCCCTCTGCAGAAGGGGAGGGAGAGCAGAAAATCCCCAAATGCAGGACAAAAACCCCCCAGGTGTTCATGCTAGTCTTTAACAACCACAGAGGTTGAGTGAATACGGGAAAGATACACTGAGATATCCAGAGAAAGCCATACAGGAAGTTTTAGGCAGGAAAGGGGAAGGAGACGGGCATCCCCTCATGGGGGAGGGGAGTAACGGTGGTGGTTTAGCTGCAGGATTAACTAACATCAGAAAACAGAAAGCTGACATGGCAGAGAGGTGAAGACAAACAATGCACAGCAGGAGAGAGACCTGGATACCCCCAGAGTATTCTCATCCCAGCCCAAAGAATACTCTGGAGTGATGAGGAAACTGAGGCAGGGAAATGCCTGTAGGTTTTATTGTTTTTGTATAGATCTGGGTATTTCTCATGCTATTAAATGTAAAGCACAATAGTGTGTTATAAACTTGCAGAGAGTATGTCTGTGTTGTATGTGCTACACCTGTCACGTGCCCTTGAAAAGTTAACCTGTGAACCCAGAGCATCCACACAGCTGGGGTTTTGGGAAAGGGTGTGGTTAAGGATGGGAAGTCTGAAGGGTCAATATTAGTTCCCGGGCCAGGCAGTTGGACTATGGGATCTCAAGCAGATCCTCTGTCTCACACCCCCTACCAAGAGTGTGCCTAGAGACTCCAAGCCAGAGACAGAGCCTGTTCAGATTCTGGAGCATTTCAGCTCACAGGATTCAGTGGTTGGGTCTTTCACAGCAGTGTGGTGAATGTCTAGGAGAAACCACTCAACTAGATCTGTGACAACAGGTGCTGCTAAAAACTGAGCAAATATCAGGACTCACAAGGAACAGGATCTCCTGATCCTCAAAGCCTTACTGCTTCCTAACAATCAAAGTAAACTATTTGCTGGAGTGGTCAGGGGGAGTCAGAACTCTTGGCATCTGTTTGTGGCTTTGCCATGGACTCACATTCTTTGACCATACCCAACTCCCTTAGCCCTAGTCTGATGGGTGAAATTCACCCCGTGCAGAAGGCACAAGACCTATTTTGCTGGTTTAAAGTGTTGCATCGACCCTGTGCTGACCCTCTGCACAGGGGTGAATCTGACCCACATATGAAGATAGTGTTATTGTCCCCCAAAGTTTTAAAACTGAGTGAGTTAACCACAGACGAATTGCAAAGCCTCGTAGACACTCTGCTGCAGCATTATTGCCTTCCTTGTGGTGTGTGAGATATTTGCCACCAGGCCTATTATAATAATTTATTTATTTATTAGTTACTGCTTACTCTCAAGCAAGATCAGGGCCCCATTGTGGTGTGTACTGGAAAAACACAGGGTAAGAGACAGTCTGTGTCCCAAAAAGCTTACAAACCAAACAGACAAAAGAAACAAAGGAAGGACAGTTATCGCTGTTTCACAGATGGGGAACCGAGACACAAAAAGACTATGTGACTTGTTCAAGGTAACACAAGGAGTCCGTGGCAGAGCTGTGATTTGAACAGTCTTCCAAGTCCTAGGAGCACAAGGCTGCCCTTTGTCTCAATAATGTGAGATTTGACAGTGAGCATCTACAACTGTTGAACAGTCCCATATTCAACTGCAAGTGTGAACTTTAAACCCTGTTTTCTTCAGGTATCATGACTGGGAAGTGTGTAGATTTCAACAGCAATAACAAGACCTGTGAGATTTTTGGCTGGTGCCCTGTAGAAGAGGACGATCAGATTCCTGAGTAAGAAATGGTCCTATTTTCAGTCAGATTTCCCTTCTTGGTTGTGAGGGGTATTGCTAGTATTACATGTAAGGTTAGGATTGCACTGGAACAAGACCACTGCCTAACTACTGCTGCTCATGAGCCAAATCCTGAAGCCCCTACTCAGGCAAAACTCTAATGGGGCCAAATGCTGACCCTGCTGCTCCATGACCTTGGAACATGGCCACAGTTTTGCAGAGCAGTAAGTACATCCCTGGTGGTGGGGTGGGGTGGCAGGTGCCATGTGTTGCAGTTTCAGGGTAACTCACTTATATTCACCCTCCATGGTCCCATGGGGGCACATTTAAGGTTCCTGGCTCCCAATTGTCACCTCTCTTGGGCGGAGACCCATCACTCTCCCTTCAGAACGGGGTCTTAAGGCTGCACAGCTCCCTGCCAGCCAGTCTGATATCCCTGGCAAGCCAGTCTACCTAAAGGCCAGCCCCCGTGCATTGCTTTCTGTCTCTGAGAGCTCTGAACAGTGTACTGCCAGCCATTACAAGTTACCACACAGCTCTTTCTAAGCAAGCACGTGTATTCTTAGGGAAAAAGCATTACAGAGAAAATATATAAAAAACCATTAAAAGAACTTACATGCATGCTAAAAACTTCCCAGAAGTCACCCCCAACTCCAGCCTAGAATACTTGTCAATCATTCAAACCCCACAAGTGGGTTTGCCCCCTTGGTTACAAGTTCATGTCAATTTTTCAATCAGGAACTAGACCTTCCAACTGGACAATTTAGCTGTGTGTCTTTATACAGCACAGGCCTTTGCTCTCCAGTATCCTGGACCAGGCAATCACCAATCAGTGGCCCTCTCCTCAGGGCACAGCTTCAAAACGCTGGATAACTGGGGTCGTAGAATTTGCATTAATCATTCCCCAGGAAATCAACATAACACTTATTGTTCCACTTATTGTTCCATGCCTGCCTGGCACATTTCAATACAATTTATTGTGGGGTTTAGTGTGCGGGTGCTGGGTGGTATGGCAGGCTGTGACATACAGGGGGTTAGAGTAGATGATCTGGTGGGGTCCCTTCAGTACTTCAGATTTATTGAACTCCTTAAATTTCCCAGATCTCACATTTGTCACACACCTTATCAGCAACCAAGGAACTTCCATCACACTCTCACACACGTGTATATGGCTGGGAAATTCTGTGGAGTGTCTTGCAGAAGTACTCTATAATGTACATGCCAGAGCAGCTTACCTGATCCAGCAACAGGTGCCTTCACCGCCTCCGTTCCCCCATCCTCGAGCTGGGAGTCATAATCTTCCCTTTTGGATTCTGGTGTGTTTGAGTGGTTGGGGCTGTCATGGTTACAGGGCTACCTGTAAGTTTGTCCTCTTCCCAGTTTCTCTGAGTGCACCATTTGAGGTCTTTTGCCTTTACCACAATTCTTCCACATTTAGACCATTCCTGGGCTACAGCACCCTGTGGATCAACCATTCCTATCCAGCAGGTTCAACTGAACTCAGGTACCTGTTGTTCTTCCCTGCAGGAATCTGTGATCAATGGTTTACAGGGATCAGACAGCTTTCCTGAAACAAAAGTAGTATTTTAAATAGTGGAACAAAGCACTTAGACAAAAAGAATTTTAAAACAACCGTCTTTCTTAGCTAAAAGCTTCCCATCCCTTGAGTATTGGCAGGCATAACATCTCCAGACACACCGAGCAAGGTGTCATGTGTGAGTTCCCTTGAACCACTACTCCCCTGTCTTGAGAGAATGTTCCTTTTAAAATCTGCCACAGTTCTTTTAATCACCTGCATTCCCAGGCCTTTTCCTATTTTGGCATCGTCTCTTAACAACTCTCAAGAGTTTGCTGAGAAGTGGCTTAACTGGAGCCTTTCCCTTCCTGCTTGTTTTTCCTGACAGCCTCCTGTTAATCTAAACCAACATAGTCATACAGTAAACATCCCAATAACCATCTCAACATACTGTATTCATAAATTACAGAGACGCTCCAAATCCATCACAGAGTCTTCCAGGCACTACGGCAAAGGTTCTTCCCCTTTCAGGGTAAGTCAAATTTCCAAACAAAGATAGGCTTCCAGCAACTCTCCCAAGGTCAAGCAGTGCTGCAGCTCTTCTCCGAGGCTCAGAATCCTTACCCTGTTTATCCAGGGGCTCCCTCCCCAGCAACCTCAATATGGCCCACTAGTGATGTATTGCCCAAGCCTCTTCCTTCTTCTGTGTACCCTTCCCAGCTTCTTCTAAATCTTACCTCCTCAACTCCTCCCAGATGTCTGCTCCCCAGCATTCTCTAGACCAGCAATTCTCAACCAGGGGTCCGAGGCTCCCTGGGGGGCTGTAAGCAGGTTTCAGGGGGTCCGCCAAGCAGGGCCAACATTAGGCTCACTGGGGCCCAGGGCAGAAAGCCGAAGTCTCGCCATCCAGAGCTGAAGCTGAAGCCTGAGCAACTTAGTGTCATGGGGCTCCTTGTGGCGTGGGGCCCTGGACAATTGCCCTGCTTGCTGCCCCCTAATGTCGGCTCTGACTTTTACATGCAGAAAAACAGTTGTGGCCTAGGCAGGCTGTGGAGTTTTTATAGTATGTTGGGGGTGGGGGAGAGTCAAAAAGAAAAACGCTGAGAACCCCTGCTCTAGCCCACCATGAAGAACCTCCTGCCAGTCTTTCTCCTGAGCCACAGGCTTGCCTGATATACTGTAGCCTGTCACATGACTGTCACTTAACCTGACCCCCAATCTCCAGCAGGACTTACTCTCTGTTTGGTCATGTGATCTTTAGAAGACCTACAAGTCCCAGAATATTTGTCCTTAAAGGAGCCAAGCCTTGGAACACGGCTGGCTGGACCCATGCCACAACTACTCTTAAAGAGAGGACAGACTGCCCTGTTACACAGGAAATGCAGCTAGCTAATAGAGCACCGTCTCCTGGGTTGGGTACATACGAACACGTAGCATTTTTCATAAGTTAGTAAGTTCAAAAAAGCTGCCGTTGTGCACTACAAATGGCTTCTTGATTGAGCAGAACTTAGCAGAGGAGAAGTGAATTTCCCCCCCTTATATCCCTCATTGGGATGAGGGCTGCTCCAACCCAGTGAGGTAGCTGCGTAGTCCCCATGCTGCTTCTCCCACTTCCCTGAGTCACCAGAACTGGGGAGAAGCAGGAGCCTATCAGACACATACCCTGCATGCATTCAAGGGATGGGCATCAATAATGGCTCTGGGGTCCTTCTCAGTCATCCCAGCCACCAGATCATGTTATAGGTGCTCTGACCAGCCCATCTCCTTCCTCCTTCCTCTATGGCTGCTTCCAGGCTTTATGGTGTATTGTTATGCCAGGGTTTTAGTAGCCTCCTCTCTTCCCCAGCAATGGTGGCATGAAAAGCCAGGAGCCTTGAGTCCTGCATATGGGTCAGAGAGCTCCCTGCCCCTTTCTGAGGCTGCACAGGATCTTACCATAGAAAGTAAGGAGCTCCCATCATTGGGAGTGAGAGCCTCTCATGAGCCATGGATTTGAGCTTGTTGCCTTTAGTGGGAGTTTTGCTTGAGGATAAAGACTTCAGAATTTGGCCAACATGTTCAGCAGAAAAGTAATTCAAATTCCTCTGTTCTAACTGTAAAACGTCAGGTGCTGTACAGTAGCCAGCTGCAAAACCAAAGCCTAGTCTCTGTATCAGCCAACTGATCAGTGGGTGGGGATGAGGAGAGGACATTTGGCTTCTGCATTATTGCTTCTCCACAGTAAAGTCAACACAGCATATACTGAAAGGAATCTCCTTCATCGGGCACAAGACAAGGCTTGTCTGCATAGCAAATATTCCCCCTTCTCTATAGTGCTTCTACCTAGGGTACTTTGGAATTCATCTTTTTATCTAGAAAGTGCAAGGACCAGATCAAATCTCTCATTGGGTCCTGAATGTGATCGTCTGGATGCTATCCCATATAATTTCTTTGCATCTATTTTTCTTCCCTTTATTGTAATTACTTTAGATGTTGGCTAACTGAAAGACAAGCTCTTGTTAACACGTGTATTTTTCAGCCCCCCATTGCTCTTAGAAGCTGAAAAATTTACCTTATTTATTAAGAACAGCATCACCTTCCCCACGTTTAAAGTCTCCAGGTGAGTATATGTTTGTTTGTTTTTTAAAGAGATCAAATGTCAAATCCGTATGACTTTTTTTTTCTGATCGCTCATGAGTTTGATCCCTGCCACTATTTAAAGCAATGTAGTATTGTACTTATAGCTCTTGGCTCATTTGATGCAGAAAACACCATCTTTTGTCCCTGAGTCCAGTATTTGGTTGACTGCAGCATTCAATAACAAATCAGTTAGCAGGAATCAGGACTGGTCCTTAAATGAGTCGCTAACCAAAATGGGGACGAAAGTCCTGACCCTCCAAACAATAAGACCGCTCATGTGAGTAAAGTTATGAACTTATTCGCAAGAGCAGGGCCTAACTTTATAACACGTGGTTTAGTATAGCTGGGAGCGAGTCTCACACTAGTGTAAGGGCTTGTCTACACTGGCAATTTACAGAGCTGCAACTTTCTCGCTCAGGGGTGTGAAAAAACACCCCACAATGCGCAGCAAGTTTCAGCGCTGTAAAGCGACAGTGTAAACAGTGCACCAGCGCTGGGAGCCACGCCCCTTGTGAAGGTGGGTTTTTTTAGAATGCTGGGAGAGCTCTCCCCCAGTGCTCTGCCGCGACCACACAAGGCACGTTAAAGCGCTGCCAGCGTAGACTAGCCCTAACTCACACACCTTCTGGGTGTGGTGTTCTATCCCATCTAGTGGCACCGGGACCACTTAGAGAGAGAGAGAGAGAGAGAGAGAGAGAGAGAGAGAGTTAAAATGAGTCTGCTTTACGGCCTTAGCTAAGAGCCAGTTGGCTTTTAGCTCATGCAGTAGAGGCTCATGCACTAAGCTCCAGCGGCCCCACATTCGATCCCGCCCACCGATGACCAGGGTCTGTCGGTGTTACACTAGCACACTAAAAATAGTGGTGTAGATGTTGCTGCACTGGCAGAGACTCACTCCTAGCTACACTAAACCACGCGTTATAAAGTTAGGCCACCTGAGCTCAGACACAGGCGATTGGGTGGCTAGCCCGAGCCTCTGCAGCAATGTCCACACTGCTATTTTTGCTATGCTAGCTCAAGTCCAGCTAGCATGAGTCCGTCTACCCAGACTGGGAAGCTCACATCCAGCTGCAGTGTAGCCATACCCCTAGTGGCTAGAGCACTGGATTGGGACTCAGGAGATCTAGTTCTATTCCCAGCTGTGCCACTGACCTTGGACAAGTCACTTTGCCCTCTATATGCCTCAGTTTATCCATCCGTAAAATGGGAGTAATCATACTGACCTCCGTTGTAAAGCACTTTGAGATCTACTGATGAAAAATGCCTACATAGGAACTAGGTAGTATTATAAGGAACACTTCAGCTATGTAAAACCTGCTGCGTTGGTGCTAGCATTCAGCTGTATTTGGCTGTAAATGGTGTCTAATTTTAGTCTTAAAATCAGAGCAGAGATTGCAATGAAATTTACTGGAGAGCTCAGTTGTCATGGTACACACACCTCTCCTCTTTCTCTGTCTTTTTATTCTTCTGAAGGCAGAAATATAAAATGAAGTACTACAGTGGGAGCAGCTAAAGCACCAGGACAACCTAGATAGTATAGAAAATTGTCAAAGACCCTTCACATCACTACAATTTCTGCTTCTAATACAGTAATTGATTTAGGAAATAATTCCCTCAGTGCCTCTCTGTAAACTCTCTCTCTGACCAAAGGAACAAGTGTAAGAGGATTTGTTGCTAGTTTGATTATAAATTTGATCCAGAACAAATGAACAAAAGTCATTTGTGCTGGGCATGACAGATTTCCCTTCTATAGATTTGTCCTGTCCCTGTACTATTTATGAGGTTAAATACACAGTAACCTGACATTAATCCATGCTGCTCTCTCAAGCAGCATGTATTCAGTAGAGTCTGTCCAGCCACCATTACTCAGTGCCATGGATTGCCAGTTCAGTGCTCCCAAGAGAGGAGAAAGAGAATAAGATATTCTACAGTGGTAATAAGGTGAAATGCACAGAACCCAGCTAAACAAATCCCCCTGTCATATTTTGCCTTCACTATCTTAATTTCTTCATGACAAAACCATGTTACAAAGTCAAAATGGGACCAGTTACACTAATGTAAATCCAGAGAAACTCCAACTGACTTGAATGAAGTTAATCTGTTTTACAATAGTGTAAGTGAGCGTTATGCCCTTTTGGCCAGGAATTCTCTTAGTATGTGTTAGTACAGCACCTAGCACAATGGGACCTGCCCTGACTGTGGCCTGTAGGTACTACTGCAATATAAACAATCTGGAGCACTGTGTCCATAATGGTTTATAGCTAAAACCTTCTCTTCCACTGCTTTGAAAACAAATTTCTGAGCCTTACCTCAATACTTATTTCTGTCTCTAAATTATAAGTTTTGCAAAACAATGTACGTTCTTTGCTCTCGTGTTGCTGATTTTAAAGCACGATGCTCACTATGGCCTAGCTTTTCGAAAGAGCTCAGTACCCGCTCAGGCATGGAAACAAGTGTCCAGATTTTCAAAAGAACTTTGCACGTTGGGTGCAGAACTTTTATGAGACTCTGGACATCAGCTGCTAGGTGGTGAGTAATGAGCTCATTTGAAAATCTGGCTTTTTATACCACAACTAATCAAACTATCACATTTCATTCAGTTGACATGCAGATTCTTTTTTATTCACAGACGCAACCTGGTGGAGGGCATTACCACAAGCTATCTGAAAAAATGCACCTACCACAAAAACAAAGATCCCTTGTGCCCTGTGTTTGAGCTGGGATACATTGTGAAGGAATCGGGACAAAATTTTCGTGCTCTGGCCTTTAAGGTACACAGATTTCAACTGATGTTTGCTTTGGTCATGAGAATGAGGGGGTGTATGAGGTTGACCTGAAATGTGGGGGGGGTTTGGCCACTGAAGTGAAAAATCGTCATTAGCACAGCTCTATACCTTGATCCATATCACTTTATATATTTTGTTTGCAGCAAAATCCAAACTTGGGAAATAGGAGTCAACAAGGTGTCCTTGTTTACACTTCAAGCTGGAGGAACAAATTTCAGCTCAGGGAGACATACTCGCTGAGCTAACATGCTGAAAGTAAAATGTAGCCATGGTGGTGTGAGCAGCATAAGGCACTAGATGCCCTGAGTATGTACCTAGCAGGCATGTCTCCTCCAGCTCAAAATGCAGACATATCCTTAGGGCATGGCTACACTTGCAGATGTAGAGTGCTTTGAGTTAAACTGCCTTTGGAGAGCGCAGTAGGGAAAGCGCTGTAGTCTGTCCACACTGACAGCTGACAGCGCACTGGCGTGGCCACAGAGAGCAGTGCATTGTGGTAGCTATCCCAGCATGCAAATGGCTGCAACGTGCTTTTCAGATGGGGGGGGAGGCGTGGAGTGTGACAGGGAGTGTGTTGTGTGTATGTGGGGGGAGAAAGAGTGGGTTTTTGTGGGGCTGAGAGCATGTCAGCATGCTGTCTTGTAAGTTCAGACAGCAGCAGACCTCCCCCTCCCCATCTCTCACACAGCATTCCACAGTAATGGTTGCTTTGTCTCGGAGCAGATAAGCATGCTGGCTGTCAGAAACGGAGCTTACAAAGGTCACATCGGCATGCCTGCAGTGATTCCAAAACAATGACAAGAGTGGCCACTTGATTTAAGGAGATTATGGGACGTTTCTGGAGGCTGATCAGAGCTCAGTAATGCAACACCTCGTTCACACTGACGCTGGGGCGCTCCAGCAGGGGTGCATCAAACATTATTCTACTCGCCGAGGTGGAGTACCAGGAGCGCTCTAGCGGTGGAGTCAGGGCGCTCTACGTGTCTTGCCAGTGTGGACGGGTAGTGAGCTAGTGCACCCGGGGCTCCTTTAATGCGCTGTAACTCGCAAGTGTAGCCAAGCCCTTAGACTATAGAGAAATATGATCTAATCTGCAAAAAGAGATCAGGAAAAGCAGAGCATTTCGTGCTCATGTTAACAAGGATTGTGTGTATTTGCCACGTTGCTGATCATGAGGTGCTACAATGTTGTTTGTTTTAGAACAAATAAAGAGGGTTTTTTTTTTCCTGTCTCCACCCTTCTCATCCTGTTTGGCCTTTGTATTGAGAAGCTCACCGCTGCTTTGGTTCAGGCTTTTTTGCTTCCTTATTGCTTTTTGTTAACATTTCCCTCTCCAGCTCCACAAGTGCACATGCATGGCTCTCACACAAGCCACCTGTCTACATGTTAGCATCTTACACCAGGGAAGAGGAAGAGGTGAAACATGTTACTATGGAGCATCCCTTTCCAAATTAAAAAGCTAACAAAACCAGGATGCATCAGAGCAGAGAAATGGTCTGAGTTAAACAGGATGAAGTTTAACAAAGACAAATGCAAAGTGCTCCACTTAGGAAGAAAAAATCAGTTTCACACATACAGAATGGGAAGAGACTGTCTAGGAAGGAGTACGGCAGAAAGGGATCTAGGGGTTATAGTGGACCACAAGCTAAATATGAGTCAACAGTGTGATGCTGTTGCAAAAAAAGCAAACGTGATTCTGGGATGTATTAACAGGTGTGTTGTGAGCAAGACACGAGAAGTCATTCTTCCGCTCTACTCTGCTCTGGTTAGGCCTCAGCTGGAGTATTGTGTCCAGTTCTGGGCACCGCATTTCAAGAAAGATGTGGAGAAATTGGAAAGGGTCCAGAGAAGAGCAACAAGAATGATTAAAGGTCTTGAGAACATGACCTATGAAGCAAGGCTGAAAGAATTGGGTTTGTTTAGTTTGGAAAAGAGAAGACTGAGAGGGGACATGATAGCAGTTTTCAGGTATCTAAAAGGGTGTCATAAGGAGGAGGGAGAAAACTTGTTCACCTTAGCCTCTGAGGATAGAACAAGAAGCAATGGGCTTAAACTGCAGCAAGGGAGGTCTAGGTTGGACATTAGGAAAAAGTTCCTAACTGTCAGGGTGGTTAAACACTGGAATAAATTGCCTAGGGAGGTTGTGGAATCTCCATCTCTGGAGATATTTAAGAGTAGGTTAGATAAATGTCTATCAGGGATGGTCTAGACAGTATTTGGTCCTGCCATGCGGGCAGGGGACTGGACTCGATGACCTCTCGAGGTCCCTTCCAGTCCTAGAATCTATGAATCTATGAAAAAATCCTGAGCACAAATTTCTGCATGATAATGACGTGGATATTTCCTGTCCTTTTGTTGTGTCTCTCATAGGGCGGGGTTGTTGGTATCACCATAGACTGGGACTGTGACCTCGACTGGCCCGTGACATACTGTAAACCTGTTTACCAGTTTCATGGACTTTACAATGATGACAATAATGTTTCACCAGGCTTCAACTTCAGGTAAGATGGCCCTATTATCTTCTGTTCAGTCTTCATATATAGTTTCTTTCATCCTGGAGGATCTCAAAGCACATTACAGACTCTATAAAAACAGGGATTATTCTCCCGGCTACCAAAATAAATGTCACTGTTGCATGTGCAAAGAGCAGCCGTTTGCTTTAGACCAGAAGGGAAAATGCTCCACCTCCCTTTAATCAGTTGTTCTTCCTCTTCTCACACACCCAGGCACTCACTCCAGACTCCTAGCTCTGAGCCATTGCAAAACCCTCCCAGGGTCACCCATATGCCCCAAATTAAAACATCATAATAATCACAACACGATGTATTTCCTTTGCTGAAATGGGTTAGCAGATCCCATAATTGTCACTATAGCTGTATAGTGCTACACCTGGCACTGTACTTAATAGTAACACGTAGCTCTTATATAGCACTTTGCATTCTTAGTTCTCAAAGCACAGGCGGTCAGTATCATTACTGCCCCTCTGTCATGACAGGCAGGGTGGCTGGGCCAAATTTGAGTGAGTGACATTGTGACTTAGTGCATGGGGTCAACAATTTGACCCGGCTCCCCTTCTGTCATAACGGGGGAGGGGGAGGAGGGAGGCAGCCAGGCCAAACCTGAGTGGCACTGACCCTCTGTGCTGGGTTCCAATGCCAAGAGCAGGAGCCGCTCCTGCAGGGTGAGTACAGAGTAGGCTTGCTCTCTGACCCTACCAACCCCTCAGAGTTGGCGGTGCCATGCCAGCAGGTGCTGCTGAGAGTGGTCCGTGCTCCCTCAGTTGGGCGAGGAGGAGCAGAAGTATGCTAGCCAATGATTTTGGGGTTCCCCCCATCAAACTTGGATGCTGGGTGGGCTGCAAAAAAAGACAACATGCAGTTGGTGGGTCACCTTATTAATATGTTCCAAATGTAGTAAGAGCATGAGTATATTCACTACACGTATTGTCAAGAACAAGGTATTTGTGAGTTAGGCCAAACTTTCCTAAAACCAGCCAGATACCCTCTAAACTGGTACCACAGTGATCACAGAAATTCACACCCTACATCCATTCACCCATTAGTGGTATAGGATTCTCAGTCAAATGCCTCATCATAGGTTGCCTAGCTATAGATATTGAAATACCCACTCATTTTTTGTATTTGTTTGTTGTTCATTTCTTTAGATTTACGTAATAGTAACAAATGAGAGCCCTGTGCACCGTAACACTTAATTATTCTTCTTGTAATAACATAATACACCCAGTAGCAATAAACAACAAATGTTCAAACAGGAGCAAATGAACTCATCTCATCTTAGCTAGTCATGAAATTTTCAGTTGAATATTTTCAGTTCATTCACTGATTTTGATTTGGAAGAGGTCAGCTTCAGGGTAAAAATAATACTAACTAACAAGCTGTTATCTAGCACTTTTCCTCAGCTCTTATCCTCAAAGCACTTTACAAAGGATGTCACTATTATTAGCCCCATTTTCCAAATGGGGAAACTGAGGCACCAAGCAGGGAAGTGACTTGCCCTAGGTCATCCAGCAAGGCAAGAGTCTCCCAAGTCCCAGTCCCTTCCTCTGTCCACTCAATCACAAAAGTTCTAGTTTCTCAATTTTCTAAGTGGTTTATATTAGTTTGGTTTATTTTTTGTTTTCTAAAGACCATGAAAGGCCATTTAACATATTACCTGTCTGATTGGAAAGGTATGCCAAATACTACAGAGAGAATGGAACTAACTACAGGACTTTGTACAAGGTGTTTGGAATCCGGTTCGACATCCTGGTGAATGGAAAGGTAACATCCTGTGTGAATTCATTTTAAATTTAATTCATGGATTTCTCATGAGCCTAGCTTTTAATTTCATTGCCAGTTCATGTGTTGTTATATAATCCACCCCAGTATCTGAACCTAGTGCATCTCAGGGTCTTAGACTCAGAGTGAAGGTTGAATGAGAGTCAGGGTGGCGTGTATGCCATTTCTATATATCCCTGAAGCTCATTTACTGAAGTAGAGGGTTGAATTGTTTCAGCAAACTTTGTAGGGATGGATATGATTTCTGCTGGAGTCCTGGGTGCTTCCTGGGTGACAGAGCGCTCTCTCTCTCTCGCGATGCAAGTTAATAGATAAACTGCCAGTAGATGGCACTCGGGAATATGTAGCATAGTTCCTGGTTTTGCAAATGGTTCTCTCTGTACAGCTATTTACACCAGCTCTTTACACTTTCCACAATGGCCATTGAGCACTGCAAGCCATTTTCTAAGGCTGGTGTTTAAAGATAATAGGTCACACTCGTCAAATCTAATGGTTTGGTCAATCAGAAAGTAACCATTGTGAGCTGATGGTCTCTGTCTTTTCCTGGTGCCCACATCCCAGAATCACCCCTACATTAGTATAGATGGCAGTCTCAGCACAGACACCAAGCATGGGTGTGGAGATAGACTTGCCCCTTGTCACTAGAAACTGGTCTCTTTGGGTCATGAGTAGTTGAGGAGCATTGCAGGAGGAGCATAAGGAAAGTCATTGGAACTGCCCATCCTTTTCCTGTTCTTTGCCTAAATAGAGCACTCCAGTTGCATGGACGGAAATCCCAGTGCCTTCAGGAATATTCAGTTCACAAAAGAAAAAGAAAGTAATGGCTTGATATCTAAAATGCCCAGTCACCCCATCTCCTTCTCTAGAGGAGTATCCACAGCTCCTGCATACCTCTGAGAGGGAGTGAACTCTTCTAGTGGTAGCCACGCAAGGTTCCTTAGCAGGGTCATCTCTAGCCCTACTCGTTCCTTCCCCCTGCAGGATTCCTCTGCTTTATTAAGAGATCCTGCCTATTTTCTCTGATTTTATTCAGGCAGGTAAATTTGACATCATCCCAACGATGACCACGATAGGCTCTGGAATTGGTATATTTGGAGTGGTGAGTATTGCTATGTCCAGCCTGCATGTGAACATGCAAATTATTCTGCTTGCATGTGGCACTGAAGTGAAAGTGACTCTGAGCTATAGCAAAATACCAGCCCCACATAGGCATCCACCTGGCCCTGTAAATGTGGAAAATGCAAAATGAATAGGAGATAGTTCCTTGCAATAGCGCTCATCTATCTCCAGATCCCCTAGATATGAACAAACCACGGTGCAATGGGGACTGATGTTAGATGGTCTGCATATCAGCTTGGACTGCCATCTTGCTGGACCCAGTCAAGCTAAGGAAAGTCAGGCCTGGTCAATATTTTCATGGGAGACCTCCAAAAGAAACGCTGGAGCAAATATTCTGGCTGATAGGTAGAGGTCTTCCTTTTGCATATGTACCAAACCAATACCCCAGCATGGTTTTCAGCGGTGAGGTTCTGTCTTTGAGGTGAGATACCACATTGGGATCCTGGCTGCTTGTTGCCATTAAAGACTGCATGGCACCTTTTGCAACATGAAAGGTGTTAAACTTAGGGTGTTAGCCAAATTACAGTTTAAGTAATTACTTTCTGCCTACTTAAGTCCCCTGGCTTGAATCCTGCATGTATCACTTCTGTCCTAAACTAAGGTGCAGTATGACTCTGCACTATTAAACAGCTGCCATGTTCCACGTCCAAAGTGGATGAAGTGATTGCTGTTTGCAAGGTGCTTTGGGATACTTTGGGATGAATGTTATAGACTCAGGAGATTGGTGCAGATTCCTGGTTTAGAGGATCTAATACTTTAGGTGCTGCCCTAACCATGGTTTGGTTTCTGTGTCATGCTTTGTCTGATTTAAGGCATCTATAGTGTGTGATCTGCTCCTACTGCACTTTCTCCCACGACGGGATTATTACAAACAGAGGAAATTCAAATATGCGGAAATGAGGACTCCTGTGTGTGTAAGTAACAATTAATTCCTCTTTTACTTGAGACTGCAGAGGGCAGGAGGTATTTGTATATATGTATGTGTGTTCAGGTAGAGAGATTATACAACAAATCTGTCTGTGTGTGTGTGTATGTACAGTATATAAAAATATTTTGGAGAGCAGCTAGACACTTCCTTCTCTGGATCGGTTGGCTTTAGTGATTGTCAAATCCACATAACACTGAACAGAGACTAGAACCCATGACCTTCAGCTCTGAAGTGACAAGGCCCTTCGATATGAAGAATTTCCATTAGCTCTTTGCTTATACCCTCAGTGGTCCAATCACTAAAGAGCGGCAGTCAGTGTTTGCGCTAACTCTGCTATGACTGGAGTCAATGGCAAAACTCCCATTGGCTTCAGTGGGAGCAGAGCTAGGCCAGCACTGACTGCTTTTAAAACCCAATAAGAACATAAGAACGGCCGTACTGGGTCAGACCAAAGGTCCATCCAGCCCAGTATCCTGTCTACCGACAGTGTCCAATGCCAGGTGCCCCAGAGGGAGTGAACCTAACAGGTAATGATCAAGTGATCTCTCTCCTGCCATCCATCTCCACCCTCTGACAAACAGAGGCTAGGGACACCATTCCTTACCCATCCTGGCTAATAGCCATTAATGGATTTAACCTCCATGAATTTATCCAGTTCTCTTTTAAACCCTGTTATAGTCCTAGCCTTCACAACCTCCTTAGGCAAGGAGTTCCACAAGTTGACTGTGCATTGTGTGAAGAAGAACTTCGTTTTATTTGTTTTAAACCTGCTGCCCATTAATTTCACCCATATCACCTTAGAATAACATCATAACATTGCAACACTGCAAATCTAGGTTGTTTTTTCACAGCTCCCTAAGGGATCTGGACTGTCAATTTCCATTCAAATGAACAGCTATTCCAGAAATTAATTTTAATGGGCATTGAGCACCCAGATCTCCTAGGTGGATTTGAAAATCTCAGTCCTTATGTCTAATGATCCATTCTCAGAGTCGTGAGGTTGAGTTGGGGTTAAATCCTTTGCTCTATCTACAATGCATCCTACAGGACAAGAGGTGACTTGCAGAAAGAACTTATTCTTGGGTGTTTTAAAAGAATAACCATTGAAATCTGGGGTTATTCATGAGTCACTGGACATACACTTACTGATCTTTCTAGAATACCTTTTAACTAGAGCTGTCAAGCGATTAAAAAATTAATTGCGCAAACTAATTGCATTATTAATCAAACTGTTAAACAATAATAGAATACCATTTATTTAAATATTTTTGGATGTTTTCTACATTTTCAAATATATTGATTTCAATTACAACAGAATAAAAAGTGTACAGTGCTCACTTTATATTTATTTTTATTACAAGTATTTGCACTGTAAAAAAACAAAATAAATAGTATTTTTCAATTCACCTCATACAAGTACTGTAGTGCAATCTCTTTATCATGAAAGTTGAACTTACAAATGTAGAATTTATGTACAAAAAAACTGCATTCAAAAATAAGCCAATGTAAAATTTTAGAGCCTGCAAGTCCACTCAGTCCTACTTCTTGTTCAGCCAATTGCTCAGACAAACAAGTTTGTTTACATTTGCAGGAGATAATGCTGCCTGCTTCTTGATTACAATGTCACCTGAAAGTGAGAACAGGCGTTCTCATGGCATTGTTGTAGCTGACATTGCAAGATATTTACGTGCCAGATGTGCTAAAGATTCATATGTCCCTTCATGCTTCAACCACCATTCCAGGGGATATGCGTCCATGCTGATGACGGGTTCTGCTCGATAACAATCCAAAGCAGTGCGGACTGACACATGTTCATTTTCATTATCTGAGTCAGATGCCACCAGCAGAAGTTTGATTTTCTTTTTTGATGGTTCGGGTTCTGTAGTTTCCGCATCGGAGTGCTGCTCTTTTAAGACTTCTGAAAGCATGCTCCACACCTCATCCCTCTCAGATTTTGGAAGGCACTTCAGATTCTTAAACCTTGGGTCGAGTGCTGTAACTATCTTTAGAAATCTCACATTGGTACCTTCTTTGCGTTTTGTCAAATCTGCAGTGAAAGTGTTCTTAAAATGAAGAAAATGTGCTGGGTCATCATCTGAGACTGCTATAACATGAAATGCAGGTAAAACAGCAGGGGACATACAATTCTCCCCCAAAGAGTTCAGTCACAAATTTAATTAATGCATTATTTTTTTAACGAGCATCATCAGCATGGAAGCATGTCCTCTGGAATGGTGGCCGAAACATGAAGGGGAATACGAATGTTTAGCACATCTGGCACGTAGATACCTAAAAAAGTGCCATGCAAATACCTGCTCTCACTTTCTGGTGACACTGTAAATAAGAAGCGGGCAGCATTATCTCCTGTAAATGTGAACAAACTTATTTCTCTTAGCGATTGGCTGAACAAGAAGTAGGACTGAGTGGACTTATAGGCTCTGAAGTCTTACATTGTTTTGTTTTTGAGTGCAGTAATGTAACAAAAAAAATCTACATTTGTAAGTTGTACTTTCACGACAAAGAGATCGCGCTTCAGTACTTGTATGAGGTGAACTGAAAAATACTGTTTCTTTTGTTTATCTTTTTACAGTGCAAATATTTATAATAAAAACATACACTGATTTCAATTACAACACAGAATATATATGAAAATGTAGAAAAAGATCCAAAATATTTAATAAATTTCAATTGGTATTCTATTCTATAACAATGCGATTAAAACTGCGATTAATCGCAATTAATTTTTTAGAGTTAATCACGTGAGTTAACTGTGATTAATCGACAGCCCTACTTTTAACACAAACCTACTCTGATTTCCAAAGAGTTGGGAATGCTTCACTAAGCATGGTGTGAAACATTGAGACCAATTGGATCATGGCTACTGTTGCACAACAGAGATTAGTCTTTATCACTGATGCTGTTGTGGGGTAATCCCAGAAGGAATAATTGTTTCATCTGGTTTGGACTGGGCAATATTACAGGAAAAAGAAGAGGCTTCCCCTTCCTCCATGAGCAATCTGCAGAACAACGTGACGGGCTCTCAGTGAAATGTAAGTGGACTCCCCTATCTAAGTTAGATGCACCATTGAAAGTTGATGAAGTCACACCATTTGACCCAGTGATGAATCTGGCCCTCCCTGTTTCATACAAGGCATGAGAAAGATGCTGTTAAGATAACAGAGCTGGGGAGAGCAACAAGAGAGAGTTGAAATAGGGTTGCAGATGTGGCTTATGGTTGGTTAGATCAACAGACGGGGGCCGTAAAATCTTAATAGGTGTCAATATTTCATTGTGTGGGTTGGGTGCATGCCCGCATCATGGAGATAACATCTGGGGTGAACGGCCTGGGTTACTCGTAAAGTTTTGGGCGTGACTATGGCAAAGTCAGCTGAAGTACAGCTTAGCTCAGAGCTGTGCCTCCTGGGGAGGTGCTGGGCAGGAAGACCCATCCAGGAGAAGGTGGTGATGACTTTTACTGAACCTGTCTTTTTCTTGGCAGGGTCTGCACTGAAAGAAGAACCTGTATCCTCTTCCTCTTCTGATATGTTGAAATAGCCCCCAGTTCATCAGGCCATCACAGACCAAATGCCAGCTGAACTCACCATTTTATACCTTAGACTGAGTCTTCCTAGGCTGATACATCTGGTCTATGGTTCAGCAGACTATATTTGTCAGGATAGGAGTGCACACCTTTATGAGCTCAGCCAAAATGTGAGTGGAAGGCCGATGGGCTGCAAGACAGCAGATGGTTCTGATTTAGTCGCAGCTTTAGGCACTGACTAGTGGTGACTAAACTATTCTGGCATGGGGGATCCCCACTGAGTTCACCCCAAGAAAAGAGAAGCATGGAGCCCCATTCAGTTAAAGCACAGAGGGACTTTTTCCTTGTTGCTCTTTTTTTAAAAGGCCCTCTGAAGTTAGGGTGACCAGCTGTCCCCATTTTATAGGGACAGTCCCAATATTCAGGGCTTGGTCTTAGATAGGCGCCTATTACCCCCAACCCCTGTCCCGATTTTTCACACTTGCTATCTGGTCAGCCTATGTGAAGTGCTATCATCCTTGGTCCAAATACAATATACAGAGAGGGAGAGAGGTTAGGCCAAACTAAATACTGAGTCTAAAACAAACATGGGAAGACCCAAACAGCACTGATTACATCACCCTCCTGATCCTTAGTTGGGTGTTGGCATCATATGTGATAAGGCACACACCCCCATAGAGTCTAATGAGATCACAGCAGACAGTTCTAGTCCCACTTAGACCTTCTGTGGTCTGACTATGAAATGCACAGAGGCTGTTTGGAGCTATGCTCTGGATTAGCCTAGGCTCTGTCTGATTTGTAGGAACTTTGTTAGCCCTGGCTAAGCCACTGCCCAGTAGAGGAAGTGCCTCCTCCTGATGAAGACAGCACTGTTCCTCTTGGTCAATTACAACACTTGGTAATTATATGTGGTGGGGAAATGGTTATTTTGTAATAATGTATTTTATTAAAAAATAAACCTCTAGTTTTTCTACTAATTCACCTCTCTGTGCCAGTGCTTGTCCTTGGAGGGTGTAGATAGATACAGTGTGCTGGCAGGCACTGAAGAATTCAGCATCAGGAAGGTCGTATTTACAGTCTATAGCTCTTCTCCTCTTGCCTAACAAAGAATGTGACTATAAGCAAACCTGGTGCAGCAGCCAGAGCTGCATGTAGACAGTGAGGATATGCCAACCCATCATTTTAACTCTGCACAATCTAGACTGCATCTCTCTGCTCACTTTTTCCTCATGCTGCACATGCCTGGGGTCCCCCTTAAATTGTCGTACCTTGTTTAATTCTATTTCTATGGCCAGTTTGCTCTGCACTCTTCAGGGGAAATTCTATCTGAATTGCTTAATTGTTAGTTTCCCTCTGCATCCCAACTTCACCCATGGATAATCTAATTTTGCTCAAATGACATAATAATACTTTGCAATTCTTTCATCCAAGGAGCTCAGAACATTTTCCACAAATCAACTAGTTAAGCTTTACAACACTTCTGTGTGGGTAGTAAAGGATTTATAGGGATCACTTCATCTGTCACAGAAATCCAGCCATCTCTGGTGTGGGACGCAAGAGCTGTTTGACAGCACACAGCAATATTACACCACAGTGTAGGACAGGAAATGAAGGAGAATCTTGTAACATTTGTAACTGCAGGAGGAATTTAGTTAGCAGCTCACCTAATTGCATTGCAAATCATTCATTAACAAGGGTCTATTCCTCCCCTGTTAACCCAAAAGGTACTTTAGCTTTCCCACTAATCTATACTGACCAATTTAACTAATCTTTTCTACCCTTTGTAATGACCTTGCTATTATACATTATAGCCCTTTAAGAGAGCTGATGACAAGAAACTCCATATCCTCTACCAACTGGACTCAATTAAGGTTAAGAGCCACAGGGAGAGAGAAAAGCTCCCTGCCTCTGAGGTGAGCAGATATACACTGCAGGGATGACTTTGCTAGGCATTAGATCTGCAGGACAGTACATACCAGATTCTGACTTTAGACGCACCTCATTCCATAGTTTACAAAAATCCTGCCACTGCTGCACTGCATTTAGTGATTTAATACAATATTAGATGTACCTTGTCCTAAGTGAACTATCACTTCCTGGATACCTTGCATCACTGTGTCACACCAATACCAGGAGTTTCAACAGCTGCGGCATTGTGCACATGCTCTGGAATAACAGAGAGCATTTCTGCAGCGGTCACTATGAACATCCATGCCATAATCATAGAAAGCTGACTATCAGTCACATCCCAGAGCTGCTCAAGAAAAACACAAGTACAACACACGCTTTATGGGTGAATCTTCAAATAACAAATACGCTGCAGCAATAATTGTCTAGTGTGGCTGCATTGTTCCCCTTGCAGTGACAGACTACAACCAGCAGATGGAACTAACAGACCATTGATGGCCTTTGAATTAAAAGGCAGCATCGGAAAAATTGAATTGTCAGAGATCACAAACACTGAAATAAATGTGTTCGCACAACCTTTTGTGCCAGTTAAACTGACTCAATCCTTAAGGTAAACCAGTGCAAGCTGCGTGCAGAGAAACTGATAGTTCCTGGCTTCTTGATATTTTAACTTTTGGGCTTCTGATAAGTGAGTTGGAGGCAGGCTTTGTATTTTGATTTTAAAAAAGGAGGAATAAAGCATTTGGGAAAATGCCACTTTATCAGTACCGCCAACTCTAAACATTCAAGAGTCAGTCCTCCTTCCCCCCAAATCATGACCTTGTCCTTAAAATCATGATATTTTAAAATAATATATATACATTGAGTTCTTTTTATTTGCCTTGTGGTTTATGAGAATTTAGGGCATATTTTCAAGCTTTCTGCAACCATGGGGGCTTAATAAAAAGAGAGCTGAGATTCTCACGTAATTACTTGTCCCAGGGCCCGGGAGCTTTACGTTAAATACCAAATATCACGAGACTCATGATAATATCGCAAGAGTTGCCAACTGTTTTGTTTTAATACAGATCTTCCCCTTTTGCTCCATTGAGATGTAGAAAAACCTGTAACTCCTCCAAGGCTAGGCCTGATGGAAGGTAGGCTATATCTGGGCATATAGCATGTGAAATAAGGCCAAATGAGCAGACAGAGATGCACCAGCTCTTTCGTTCATTCAGTCTAGGCAGGTGGGTCCTTCTTAGGTGTAGTTTCTATGCTTCAGTGTTGTCCACTCATAAACCCTTCCCTCTATCCTGCTGCTTTTAAATTATGTTTGATGCAAAAAATAGCTCATCCAAGTAAAGAGAAGAGGTCTCCCTGACTCATATTCTTCTCTCCGGCTGGAGCCTTTTTGTCTTCCAAGTATTCATTTGGATGTGACAGTGAGTCTGAGAGTCAGGGGCCTGGGGAAATGGCCTCTGAAATGACCGGTAAACATTCGAGAAGAAAATGAAAACTGCCTTTTGATTGTGCCTAGTTCTCTCCTGTGCCAAAAGTAAACTGAAGAGAGAAAGGTATAAGTGCTATCATGGGGAATCTGGGTAGCTCAATGCTGCCCCCTACAGTTCCTGGATGTTTATAATATGAAACAGTGGAAGATTATTTTGGGGGGTGGGTGGGAAGAGGCAGTGCAAGTGTGTATATTGTGGGACACGGGTTCCAGATTGAACCTTTCGGTCTCTCCTTCGGACTCATTTGTATCTCAGCGTTGACCTATCATCACTGCAGAGGTCAGGAACTATTTTCATCTATTTGGTGTATTATGCATAATTCCCCTGAAGAGCGTGCATGTGGGGCTGTAATTCCCTGTGGAGCCTGTCTGAGTTGGTCTTCTATTCCTCAGCAAGGGGCCAAACCACATCTGTTTACCATAGCATTAGCACAAGGGGTTTTAGTCCTTATTTACAAGTGCTGAAGAATTTTTGTTAAGAATCTCCTCAGTTTGCTGTATGTGCACCTTATTTGTGCAGGAGTGTTTTTTTACAGCTCCTTCTCTTGTTTAATTGGGATTTAGCCTTGTAAATGATTATTTAATTAATAGAAAAAATACAATGTAGTTCCTGATGAATTAAATGCACTCTCCAATCCTTTCAGCCAGAGATCACACAGGAATTAATGTCTCAGTGACCAAATAGACATTATTAGTGTTATTAATAAAATAATAATAATACCTCTTATGTAGCTCTTGCCATCAGTAGATCTCAGAACACTTTATAATGGAGGTCAGTATCATTAGCCCTGCTCTACAGATGAGGAAACTAAGATACAGGAGAATTAAAGTACTGCAGTTGGCCTCTGAGTAAGTGAACAGTTTTATTGCTCGGTCTTTGGAATCAGTCCAACACAATAGCCTAGATCAGAGCACTCCTGAACTTTGGGGAGTTTGAAATCTAGATCCAAATGTAACTCTAATAAATAATGGTCTGAGCCTTTACTTATGTCAGTAGCCCCAGATGTACTTTCATGAGTGAGGGTTATACAATCAGACTCTAAATAAATATACAAACACATTCATATACTTAGGCCTTGTCTATATATAGGAAGATTGACCATGTGGAATATTCTATTTCTCAATAGCTTTTGCAGAACAGCTTATTCCACAATAACTATGGCAAAAAAAATTTATCCATGTAGACAAGGCCTCAGATTGTAAATTCTTGGTGGCAGGGACTATCTTATCATTCTGCATGTGCATAGTGCCCAGCGAAGCTGGTCCCTGATCCCTGACTAGGGCCTTTAGGTGCGACAGCAATGCAAATAATAAACAATAACATTATAAAATATATATTTCCTATTCTACACAATCTCGCCTTGCTCTAATACGTTCATTCTTTCTCCAGTGCAGCATCCAGTCCTTAAGTTAAAACACTCTTGGATTTCTCCAAAACAAAGCTACTGCTACTGCTCCTCTGGTTTCAATTATCTTGACAAATCCTCCAGAGGACACTCAATGAAGAGCAGGCAGGAACACCTGCTGCTTCCACCCACTCTTCAGCAATGCTTCCCATCCCTTATGCCCCAAGAAATTCATTCTGAGACAAGTCCATGATATATGGGGAAAGGTATC